TGTATCCAGCCCAGCGGCGGATCCGGTTTAGCTCGTGACAAAACCTATGCTATAGGTTAAATGTAATCTAAAAGGTAATACGGCGAAAGTTGATTTAATGTTCTAGCTATCTGTTAAATGGAATTCAGCAGAACACAGCTGTGATGTTTGCTACTTATAAGGAAAATACATACACGTGATGGCGTATACCTAAACACAAAACTTACACAGTAAAGCCGAGATATATCAAACAGAAGTAAACATATTTACTAGTGATATTTATTTGACGATTTTACATAAAAATAAACTTATTTACAAATAGTGTGTATATGAAACATACAAAATACCAGTACATTGTGACTGTACTATATCTTGGGCTGTTTACAGTACCGACACCGACTTGTCCACTGTAGCTTTGGCTCAGATATAACACTAGTGTTGTGTACTTTAATTGCAAAATAAAGCATTTAAAAAGGTTGTAGCACCACTGTTTCTTAAACATTTACTGGCATATGTATAAATTGATCTGCGCAGCAGAATCTCATCAAAAATGCAATAAAAATCTACTAAGTTGAATATATACATAAAATGTGTGCATATAATATAAATATCAATTTGTAAAAAGGAAAAAAAATAAACGCTGGGAAAATCGTTTGAAGCGAAGAACAGATCGGATGGGGAATACGCTCGATGGGATTTTCAATAACGTACTTGATAATTATCCAACAGACGAAAAGCCCACACGTTAGTCTGGGGTTATGTCACGAAAAGCGTGATGTCTTAGCAGAGAATATATACATAGAAATGTCGGTGGAATTATGCCTGATATAGGGATACGCGCAGTGTCAACATTAGCTATGTGCGACCATGTACGCGTACATGTGTTGATGACCTTGTAACCAGAGACACATACACGTGCGTCTATTATGGAGTCATGTTTGGCCAGCAAGGGCGCCGGTCACACGTGACATAACGGGCCTTACAGTTGAATACACGTGCTTAACAGGTGACACGCGATTCAGATATCCGTTAATCCTGTGAACTGAGCTAAGCATGTCATGTTTTATTCATCGATTTGAGACAGCGCGTGGATAAGGGCGCATAACTTCAAAGGTAAAAAGCGCACGACGGACGCTTTACATTGCGCCATTTTTGACAGAACGGACACATGAATGTTTTATTGGACATGGTGCACGCGGAAAAGTGCTAAGGGAACGTGTACTTTCGGACAATTAGGTATCACATATACTCGGCGATAACAGTATGTAGTAGAACTATAGCCTGTATTATACTAACTCTAACAGCGGCGTGACAAAGGAGACTTACAATTGTTTACAAAGTCAACCCTGTCAGAGATTCACAAATCAGCTTATGCCAATAATGAACATCAAATGATTCACTAATAAGGCGAGTCTATCGATCTTATATTTTCGGTAAGTTACTTACATAATATGGCGACAATTGTTCGCGAAATCAGTTGGATTTTTCTCATGTTCACCAATGTGCTAATTAAATTCTCGTTATCGAGTTACAAGGCGCGGTCGCCAACGTCTACAGTGACAATGCGAAAGGATCGACATTTCAGCGGAAACGTATGAACACATGTCGAGTGTTCAACCATGGCGGCTTCGTGTAGTCCTGATATTTAAAACCGAGAATATCTGACGATAATATATCGCTGTCATTGCCATAATTTTGACCGTCATGTATGAAGTTTGACACGACCTCGCAATTCACATAGACTGTACAACATGCTTAAATGACAAGTTATGTCGAGGCAGAACTAACGAATTTGACAAGCCTCTGGCGATATGACGGGATGGTATTCCATTGTGTTGTAAAGGAGGGGAATTAATCCTGACATTAACATGATAACCAGCAGGCTCGGCCAGGAATCTGACGTCCCGAATCACGCGCACGTGGACTATAATATCTCGGATAAGGCGAAGAGATATTGTAGTTTTATCAGACAAACTGTGCCTTTGTGCAAAGTACGAATGTGTTTATTTGAAATGTCGTTCCCATGGCTACGGTCATAGTTAAGTGAAAATTGGCGCTAAAGACCACGTCTGCCATTTTGAAAAGGTTCGGACAAGGCGTCCACATACATCTGGCTTGTAGTGTGTGATAAACTAAGTGACGGGGAAGAACAAGCCCACATCTGGCTCAGTGACTGAATATAAACACTTGTATATATCCGGCTACACTTGTATATAATATGTACAGTGGATAGTTCGCTGGCAACATCGACACAGAATGTTTACATCCTTGTTGTGTACGCCAACAACCCCAGCTTTGTATTTAATAAAAAATCAACGTAATACATACCATTTTAACATATAAACTATCGCCCCAAAGAAATAATAATCAACGGCGCTTGCATTCAAACCCAGCTCGAACTATTCCAAGTTCCAAAATTAAATTAATGGATAGCAGTATGATTAACACAAGCGCCTGTGGCGTTACTTTGCTGTCTATGCATTCTTCCCCAACACAACCTCTCCGAAATTACGCCAAAACACAAAGGTACATGTACGCTATACACTGACCAAAGGGGCCATTTAATATCGCCAAATCGTCACGACTGTATCCCTCCTGTATTAAAGTTTTAATTCATAAAACGTTCAATGCATACAGCGTTAAACAGGAGACGGTTAAAGAAAAGGTAGAACTCTCACATATATGCATTGCATAGCAAAATAACAAAAATATTATACACAAATTTTAAATTTATAAAAATATAAAGCAAATAACTTTCTGATTTACAAATTGCACCTCTACATATTACAATTCATTGTACACACGTATGTATTATTATACAGTACAAAACTAGTGAAGGTCACATGTGCAATAACATATTGGACATCGTGCGTGTACCTCTTCGGAAATTTCAAAGATGTTAAAACTTTCGTTGTTTTCCAAACGGCTTCAATAACACAAGTTATTATATTCATATGATCATTTAAATGTATATAAAATAGATTCATGAATTAAATAAGTGAGATATTTTTTCGACAATAAAAACAAATGTCTATTTGTGAAATTAGCAAGGCTTTCAGCAACAGTGCCCGTTTGAGTTTTTATATATATACGACATGTACATTAGAACCTATTATTTGTCACTTAACAATTAACAAAAAAACACACCGCAGTGTCGTTAAATGTGGGTTTTTTCGTGTCGGAATAAGGCGGTTTCATAGTGTGTAAATTTAGAATCACAGCACTGTTTTACACCGTTGGCGGTAAGATTTCGTGTACGCTTACAGTTATATATTTTTAGATCATTCCAAATTGAATTAGATAGGTCAGACATTCTGGCAAGAAAGTACTACGCTAATTCAATCAGTTTTGGCTAAATAAAAAATGCAGATAAACTTACATGTGTGTTTGTACATTATTTCTATATGAGTAAGGAACAAAGCCATCTGGCGTTCCATTAATTACGATAAAATGCAGACCACTGCAAAATACGCAGTGGTTGTGTAAACTGGCAATACTATACTCATTCTGCAGAATTGAAATAAACCATATCACCACGCAGTAATTTCTCTTCCCTTTGATTTCACATAATACCTGCTTGTGTACCAGTCGAAACAGTTCAGGCCGTTGCAAGGTCCACTGGTCCCACGATAACAGGTCAAAGTTCATCACATTCTCGCAGTAGATCCATGAATGATTTGGCACCATCAGCAGTCGAAACCGGTTTCCAACTTTTCTTCAGAGAAACTTTCGCACGGTTTCTCAGCTTTTTCAAAGTTGGAGATTTCCTGGAGATAGGTAGGAGGCAGTCAGCGATCGTGTTCTGCAGAGCGATTGAATATCGATCTCCTGAGGACGACTTACTGATGTTATGGCTGTTGGAACCGCCACCTGTCAGGTTGGAAGCAGTGGTAATTGGCGGGAAATTTTTGTAATGCGTTTCCAACTTGGACAACAAAGCAGACGGAATGTGTGCAGTAAGCTCACGCAGGATGCAACCCAACCCCCATATTAGCGTCTGGGGTCCCTTGAGTTGACCTCCCCTCAATTGCTCTGGCGACGTGTACGCTGATAAGGCATTAGGCGAGTCGGTGTTGAAATGTGCCCCACTTTTTAAAGGTAGATACAGTAACATGTGTTCCAGCTTTATATTTCCCTTCTCCCCTAACACAACGTGCTGAGGATGACACAGTTCCCACGGGTAAACATCGTTTTGTTCTAGATAACCTAAAACATCGGTTAACTTCAACAATACTTCCCAAACTAAATGTTCCGGTATCTTTTTATTGAATACGTACATACGGACAACAAAATCCTCCAAATTGATGAGAGGAAAATCGAAAACATATGACATCATCTGGGATTGTGGGTCGTACATGCTGAAGTGACAGTTGATTAAATTGTCGTGACGTAGCCACACCCACTTTTCCCGCTCGTTCTCGTGGAGCATTGTTCGATGACCTGTTGATTGGCAAATTTTACAGGGATCATTCACATGCTGGGTTCTCATCAAGATTTTTGATCCATCAAATACACACTTTCCCGGGTGAATCTGATGTGTCTGATGGTGTACGTGGTTGGGAAAATTGAAGTTGTAATCCATATAAATCCCATCTAGGTCAAAGTCCATCGGAATGCGGAATGTCAACAAATACTGTTTGATGACACCGGGTAAAGGCAATCTGGCAACTTGTTGAACTCTCCGTAGTGTAAAACAGCCGAGTATTTTAGTTCTACACAAATCTTGTAGCGATTTTAAATGTTGTCGATCTTCTCTTTTCCCTACCAGAGGAAAATGTTTGCCCGATCCAGCCATTGAAAAGTGGGTGTCTTCTGTTCAACACGCCACGCTAACTCCAGTTGTACCTCTGGTGTGTCACACTTCACTTCCCGCAATTTATTTGTCTGAGCGTCACCTCTTATCTCTGTATATTGTGGTAGTGAAAAATGTTAACCAATCAAACTCGCCGAAAAGGGGATTCCTATGCTGACGTCAGATGGGTTTCCTCAGCTCATATAATTCTATGATTGTCAATAAAAGTATGGCGGCATATGATGCATCGGCGGGGAAATGGAAGGTTTTGGGGTAGAAAAAGGGGAGATAGGGGTAAAGGACCGCCGAGAGATCGACCATCCTTTCATAGCAGAAACGTTTACATTGTAGCAGCTCCACTTTTATTCATATTTGCTATTCTACGAATTATTGCCTATCAGTTGTGGGTCGTTTTGGAGATTCTTGTTGGGAGATCTAAAGCCATCTTGCCTTCGGCATGTCTGCCAAACCAAAAAGAGAAATACAAATGCCAATTTGAAGCTGAGGAAGGCATGTCGGGGGCTGCCAAAGCGAACGTGGGACCTGCGGCCCCGGCCCTGGCCACACAGAAGCACCATCACAGGAAGGCGTTCGAGTACATCTCTAAGGCCCTCAAGATCGACGAGGAAGACTCGGGTAGGTTTGGTGTGTAACCAGGCAACTGTCGATGCATCTATTTATATAAAGCATTGATGATGTATGATGAGCACTAAGTGTGTTTTCACAGTCTTGACGCCACACAGTCAATGTTCTTAATTATATTTTAATTCGAATGTTTGTTTTCATTGAGCAAATAATGAATACCACAGAATTAGATTAACTTATATCCTCCTTGTCACATTCCACTTGCTAGAAAAAGGATTGATTTTCCTTTTTGGGAGCTTTTGTAAACAGTGACATAATTAAAATGGTATCTATGGTTATGCAATTTTGCTCATCATTAATCATACAGAGAGACATAAAATAAGATAGAGCAATGGAGGCAGTTATCGACAGTCTAAGCTTCAAACGTGTTTTTCCAGTTTACCGTTTTGCGTAAGTTATTTTATGATGGCATTTCGAAGAAGTCGGGAAACGTTCTCTATTTCATCATCTGCGATAAGCGTACATGTGACGAATCACGGGAGAAATCATTGTTTTGGTGGCATTAATGACAGGGGCAGTTATCGACAGGTGGAGGTAGTTATCGACAGCTAAATTAAAATGTTAATTATTTCTATTATTAATCTCTCATAATACATTCATTTGTTCTGACGTGTGTCCAATTGCTTAAAAAAGGTATAAACATGTCAAGTGATATGTCAAGTCATAAATGTAAACAAACACGCTCCCTTTTCTGCACGCATGCGCAAACAGTCACCGTCACAGCATTTTGATCAAACACATTTTCTGGTTCCCTTTCAATATGGTGTCCCACCCCAATTTCATATTATTTTGATCCCCAGTGATGCATTCCAACAGCCCAACAATTTTGAATTATGATGCATTTTATCCTACAATGATAGAGATCATAAATTTAATTCAAGAAAACATAATTGAATCTTCTTAAAATAATCATTGTGGAAATGTTTTTAGGTTCTTAATGTTCACAAGATAATTAGTTTAAATATACCTCCTGCCTAACAGAATAGTTTTCATCAACATTTGATCTGTGTAATTGATTACTTTTCAATATATATTATATTCTGTCTATATATGACTGCAGTGTCTTCAAATATTGATATTTTTCATAATTTGTAATTGCAGTTTATATTGAGTATATTTACAAGATTTATCTACATGGATTTCATTGAGAAATTAGTATTTTTTAGTATCTTAGTTATGCTTGTAAAGTTATGTCTGTTTACTGGATAGACTTTAGCAACACTATTGTTGTCGGCTACATGTTCTCACCTTTCACAATTCACGATATATATATATATTGAAATCATGCAGGCAACTTTGAAGTACAAGTCATTCATAAAAATATGCTTTTAATGGATAAAACAAAAATTAATTGGTATTGCTTTCACATACTGTCGATAACTACCTCCGATCTTCAAATTGCAGCAGTTATCGACAACCCTATTTCCGACCATAACAATACCCCAGATGTAGATAATACGCTGACAAACGTTGCAGACGCTTCATGAGTGAAGTTGGATTACACCATTATGTGACAAATATTTCAGATAAAAATGTTATCAAAATTCAAAGTGCCAAACATATCTTATCGCAAACATATCTTATCGGGGCCCGTAAGGGAGGTCTAAAAACAGGATCGATACTTCTCTTTGGGAAAAAAAAGTTCAGAAAATTTGTTCAGGCTAGCAGATTTGTTCAAAATCAACTTGTGGGCTAGTACTCTATAAATATAAAATTGTAGACCTCTGCATATAAATGTACAAGTGATGTAATAAAAAATGCAGGAGAGAAGGAATAAATTTGATTTTAAAATACTATTTTACGAAATGCTATTATCTCTCGATATTGAATTAGATTTTGTTTGTATACGTAGGTTACCTTAAACTGTATCTGTTTGATGGCTGAAAGCTTTTACAAAATTTAATTTATCATGGAGTAAAAATGATAAATATATTTCTGAAATGTTAATCTGACATGACCTATATGGTCTTTATAGAACAGAAGTGTTAGCTCTAGGCCTGTGCACATGATCATGATCTGACAAGATTTATCTCCCTTCAATTGTTTGGAAAAGCTTGATGCCACATTCAAAAGATATTGTTATTTTTAATTGTTGTCAACTCATTTCATGATGTATTTATATAATTTGGATATGAAAATTTAGAAAGGTTCTTGAAAATCTTATGCGTCAAATTCAGACATATTGAATGACCTTTACAACATTGAATTTGAACACGACCATAAATTGGGGAAACATCTTTTGGCACATATTTCAAAATCATTTTATCACTTACCAGGGTTATCTTTCACAATGAAATGGAATTTGTATGATATTATTTGAAGGTCAAAAGGTCAACTTTGCTGGTTGAGTATAATGAGTAAAAAGGTTGTAAAATATGTTTTTAACATTTGGTCAGCAGGTACTTTTGGACAGAGTGCTTTAAAGCTTTTTCATGAAAATGACTTTGACATACAAATGGTTTCAAGATTAAGAATTATGAATAATTATATTGACAATAGAACTGAGGAATATATTCCCAATTTCAATACAAATAATGCTATCTTATCCCAATTATTAAAGGCTGTTGTAAAATTTAGGTAGCAAAAACAGTGGTGTTTAATATAAGCAACCAAAATAACTTTCTGTTACTTCCTTAGAACACTGTTTTAGTGCTAGCCATAGGAACAAGTGTATTTACAAAGGTGTTGTGTACCAGAAAAGGAACAAATCAACAGTACCAAAGTACCAAGAGATCATACAAATGTATCTGTTATTTCATCAAGGTTCTAATTTTATTATCTCTAAAACATTTTGGCATGCAACTGTCCCCATCCCTATCTAATTCCCCATCTGCCTCGGCCATGTTTAACCGTCTGACGAGTTGGCCGTTTGAGAATATCAATCTTAAAATTTGAAGTTCCTGTTACAAATGCTCTGGGTGGTCACTTCTGTCATAGTAACAAAGTAACAGTACACCTGACATTTCATCAGATCGTTGTCATTATTATACAACGGCCATATTTTTATACCCCCGTCAAATTTGACGGGAGTATTATGGTGTGGCGTTGTCCGTCCGTCCGTCTGGCGTAAACTTTTGTCCGGCAATCTCCTCCTACATTTTTCGACCAATCTCTTTGAAACTTGGTATGCATTATAATCATGATATGAAGTTGTGTCTCCCTTAAAAGAATTTTCATTCGACAATTGTTTCAAAAGTTATTGCCCTTTGTTCATTTCAGTATTTGATTTTTGTCCGGCAACCTAGGCCTCCTCCTACATTTTTCAACAGATCTCTTTTAAATTTGGTATACATTATAATCATGATATGAAGTTGTGCCCCCCCCCTAAAAGAATTTTGATGCGACAATTTTTCCTTTGTTCATTTCAGTATTTGATTTTTTGTCCGGAGATCTTCTCCTACATTCTTTGACAGATTTCTTTGAAACTTAGTAGGCTAAATAATCATGATATGTTGTTGTGTTTCCTTGAAAAGAATTTTGGTTCAACAATTTTTGCAAAAGTTACTGCCCTTTGTTCATTTCAGTATTTGATTATTTTATCTGGAGATTTTCTCCTACATTTTTATAGCATGTTGGCTAACCACTCTTTGAATGATGCAGATCTTATTTCAAAGTAAGAAAGTATATAACACTATATGGCATTTGATGGGCATATATTGTTCCGCCCTGCGGTACTCTTGTTCCAGATTCTTGAAGGGAGCTCTTTCGTACACACATTATTTGTATGTCTGATGTTTTTGCCTTAATTTAAGGTGAAGGATAAGCTCTGCTTAGTAACTTCAACATTGACATTCTCCATTGATCTCTCATCCTGAATTTTCAGGGGTTATGCTATGTTCACGGCTCCTGAAATATGTCATGACGAAATTGGAGGCTCTGTATGTGCAGTTTTGTACATAATGCAAGAGGACTAGTTTGATTCTTTGATGTACATGAAAAGAATCCTGCGGCAGCATAAAGTTAATTCTTTTGTAATCTTCTAAGGACAGGTATAAGCCTATAGGGATTGGTAAATTTTTCATGACATATATTCAAGGGGTGCAGAAAACATAAGTGAGCGTAACCCCTGGAATTTGAAGGAAGGTGATCTATGTGCTAAATTGCTAATGATCTTTTACATATGCATACCTGGTATTTCTTTTTTATGTAAAGAAAACACAAACATGACAGAATTCAGTGGAATTGAACCAAATCCAACTTATGATATGTTGTTGTTAACACTGTCAGAATTTTAACACTGTCAGAATTTTATGCAGTATAATTTTATCTTGGAATATTTCTCAGAGGTCTGACTGTCCAAAATAGTAGGTGCTAATGCTAAGGTAGTGATAGGCTACGTTCAGTACATGCATGTACATGTAAATACATCCATATAATAAATTTCATGTTTTATGTGATATTGGTACATCATTAATTTCTAGCTGGAGCTGTTAGTAAATGAGGCTATGTAGAGGGCAGAGGTGGGTGTCTACAGGCAGTGCTGGTCTGTCTGAGGGTTTGTATCTGTCTATAATGATATAAACACATCAGAAGTAATGATAAACTTCTGTTCACAGCACAGAAGGCAGCCCTGTGTACACATGGTGTGCTGAAAGACTCGATTCTTATGCTGCTTGTCCTTTCTATCTTCTCATTTCAATTTCCTCTTTACTTTTTAATATAAAACAAATGTGAACAGAAATAAAAGCTCTCATAATATTGATGTAAGTCACATTTCAACTTTTTGATATAATAAATGAATCCATTCATACTCTCCAAAGTATTTTTTCACTTCAGACAATTATGTTGTCTTTGTCAAGGTTGTAGGAAATATCATGATCACCAGACTTCAGCTTAAAAACACATATAGTGATTGAGTGTATCAAGCTCCAGAAAGTGTAATTATAGATAAACTGTATTACTAGTCTGTAATCTTATACACCCATAGAATACACTGTACTTGATATGACCTTTTGACTATTATATTATATTATTGCGTAAGGTTCGTAGTT